ATAAATAAATAAATAAATAAATTTCCTGTGCTTCTTTCTCCCAGTTATTTTGACTTTTAACCTTGAGCTGTAACAATCTTCATATTTTGTTTCCTGTTATGTGGTTGAAGTAGTCTGGATCAGTGGTCCCCAACCATGGGCCTCCAGATGTTCTTGGACTTCAACTCCCAGAAATCCTGGCCAGCAGAGGTGATGGTGAAGGTTTCTGGGAATTGTAGTCCAAGAACATCTGGAGGTCCAAGGTTGGGGACCATTGGTCTAGATCAGTGGTTCTTAACCTTGGGTTACTTTGGTGTTTTTGGACTGCAACTCCCAGAAGCCTTCACTCAGTAGTTGTGCAGGGTAGAGTTTCTGGGAGCTGCAGTTCAAAAACACCTGAGTAACCCAAGGTTAAGAACCCCTGGTCTAGATCTCCATATTCCATGTGTTTTGTTATTCCTTAGTTTTTATTCATTCGTCCTAGAACCTTGTCCCTGATTACATTCTCTATCCAATAATTTTTTCTGTCCTGTGAGGAACCCACAGTTCAGGTGCTTCTACCTTAGTTGATAGTTGCCTGTGTTTGAGTCCATGTTTCCAAGTTAAACTGAACAGGATATACAGTATAGTACGTCATTCCCCAAAGAATTTTACGTTTCTGCTGCATACTACATTCTTCATTTTAACAAAGCAACCTGGGACATCCCTATTTTGACTTCTCTTGTGTGGTCATGATCCCACCATTCTTTCAAACAAGCTCTGAATTACTTACATTTGTCAATATGGTCCTCTCATTTTTGATCTTTAACAGCATTGCTTCTGTTGGTTTCCTTTTATTGATTTCATTCTTTATATAACATGCATTTTTCTTAGCTTTCATCCATTACTTATGCCATAGACTACACTGAGCAACCTTTGCAGACTAAATTGCCAGCTAGTAATACTCTACCACTGACATATTCTCGGTAATGTCTTCATTGAGAATGATTTTCAGCAAGTGCTTCTTTGAAGAGGTTCTTGAAATAAAAATTGAAATCTTTGTTGTGGTGCTCTTGTTATGATGCTCTTTGTATTGCTATATTCTCTGTCCTCTTACTTCAGTTTGCATTATAGCTGTTTGCAGTCAACACATTGTCAAATATAAAGATAACCAAACATGCTATTGGAGCCCACAACCTTTGGGTGGGAGGTCCAAATGTTGAAAACCACTGACATAGAGCTTACAGTGATATTTACTATTTTCTGCATTAATGTCATGTTCCAAAAATGGTATTTGACAGCAAGACTTGTTTTCCCACAGTATCGTCTGGAGACTTTTAATGAAACAAGATTATGTGAATGGACTTTTGAACCTTACACTAGTAAGTAATTCCATGAATATGAGTGCCTCAGTCACTGAAATCTAAAAATGGAAGGTTTGTTTTTTATTTATTTATTTAACATACTTAGGCCAACTTTTTCCTAAAGGACCCAAGGTGGCTTCTGGTATTAAAAGAAAAAAAAAAGATAAAATCCATATAATAAATTATTACAATACTGAAAAAGCATTCAACAAATATATCAAAACCCATAATAAGAACAATACTAAAAACACAAATAAAACACAGAATAAAATGCTCCCTTAAAAAAACCCAACTTGGACAACCAGTCATTTAAAGGAAAGCCTGCCTAAAGTGAAAGGTCTTCACCTGTTTATCTCCTGATAGTCTTAATACCCAGGTAGTTTGATCTAAATTAGAATAAAATATGATTTGGCCCTCAGTAGAAAGTGGCTTAATATCTGAATACCTTAACAGATCCATCAGTATGCCATTTTATTTGTTCTGGAATCAGAAAATTTCTGCATTTGACTAGCATCCAATATTTAACACTGGATTATTGATTTCCTTCTGTCAGCTCAACGGTCACCTCCATTCAAATTTTCCCCACAGTATCGATCAGGTGAAGGAGTTCAAGCTGAGAAAGCCTGAGGTCACACAGTCTGTTTCATAGGATCCATGGAGGTTTAAACCTAGACCTTCCAAATCTCCACCAAACAAATTAATCATACTCAATTTTTGTTAGTATGTTCCTTTGAATCAAGAAAGAAAAGATACCAAATATTTGTGGGGGCAGGTGGGGGACCCAATCACCATTATTTCTCAAATTAGTCTTGGCATCATCATCCAAGAGAGGGCTGTGGCTAGAATTTTTTCTTTTGTAGAACCAGGCTCATTCTACTCCCCCTGCCCCACAATTTTGTGAATCATAGAAATCATAGAAAAGTGAAGTTGGAAGGGGCATACAAGGCCATAAAGTCCAACCCCCTGCTCAAGACAGGAATACAATCAAAGCATATCTGCCAGGTGATTATCTACGTTTTTCTTGAACACCTCCAAGAATGCCTCTTGAAGCACTCACCAACTCCCGAGGTAACTGGTTCCACTGTCGTACTGCTCTAACAGTTAGGAAGTTTTTCCTGATATTGAACCAAAATATGGCTTCTTTTAACTTGTGTCCATTGTTGCGTGTCCTGTACTCTGGCATGATCGAGAACAGATCTTGCCTGTCCTCTGTATAACAGCCTTTCAAATATTTGAAAAGTGTCATCATATCAACCCTTAGTCTTCTTTTCTCAAGGCTAAACATGCCCAGTTCTATCAGCCTTTCCTCATAAGGCTTGGTTTCCAGCCCCTTGATCATCCTTGTCACCCTCCCCTGAACTTGTTCCAATTTGTTAGCATCCTTCTTGAAGTGTGGTGGCCAGAACTGGATACAATACTCAAGGTGAGGCCTAACCTAAGTTTCTAAATTGCGGGATTTGGAAACTATACTTCTATTAATGCAGCCTAAAATAGCATTGACCTTTTTTTTACCCACATCACACTGTTGGCTCATGTTTAGCTTGTGATATACGATAATTCCAAGATCTTTCTCGCTCGTAGTTCTGCTGAGCCAGGTATCCACCATCTTGTAACTGTGCAATTGTTTCTTTTTCTGAAGTGCAGTACTTTGCACTTTTCCCTGTTAAATTTCATTCTGTTGTTTTCAGCCCAGTGCTCCATCCTATCAAGGTCATTTTGATTTTTTTTTTGTCTTCTAGGGCCATGGTTCCCAACCTTGGGCCTCCAGATGTTCTTGGACTTCAACCCCCAGAAATCCTGGCAGCAGAGTTGGTGGTGAAGGCTTTTGGGAGTTGTAGTCCAAGAACATCTGGAGGCCCAAGGTTGGGGACCATTGCTCTAGGGTATTAGCTATTTCACACAATTTGGTATCATCTGCAAATTTGAGAAACATTTCCTGTATCCTCTGATCCAGGTCATTAATAAAAATATTGGAGATCATCGGGCCCAGGATTGAGCCTTGGGGTACCCCACTTGCGACCTCCTCCCAGTTCAAGGAGGACTCATTAATCATCTCCCTCTGAGTATGATTCTGTAGCCAATTGTGAAAGCTGTTCCAATATGTTTTGGTCGTTGGAGACAGCCATTATTACTTTTTGAAAGAGCATCTTTCCTCTAGGATAAGAACTTCCTGCAATATGTGAAATACAGTATTTCATTGCCTTGTCAAAGATTTCACACTATCAGCAGCCCCTGTATGAGTGGATTCATCCACTGATCTAAGTGATCTATGTGCACAAAGGTACACCCCAGACAGACTTTGAAACTTCTTCAGACCCATTCAGTCTCATTGTTATAATTTACGTTTTATTATTGATTATTTGTGATACCCTTTAAATATAGCAGAGTAGCTGCAGCAGTGTTTCTTGTAGGCATTTAAGCCTACTTTGTTTATATATCCTCTGGAGCAATAAAGCAGATAGAGCTTAAAATTTAATAAACAGCAACAACACTCAAGCTTATTTAGAAAATACAATATAGGAAAGCCTGATTCTTGATCTAGGTTGGAACACATGGTTCGAGGGGAAGGTTATAGGCCACCCTTATGAAAGAAAAGTTGAGGAGATGCTTAAAAGGAAGAAGACTAACTCAAAGACAGCCAAGAAGAAGTAAATCTGCCATTTCTTTGGGACAACAGAAAGTTGAGGAAACATCCAGTTAAAAAGGATAGGCACCAACTGCTTTGTTCTGAAATGCCCCTGTTGGCCCTTTGTGACAGAAAGATGCAAAGAGGTGATGCGTTTAGAAGTATTCTCTAACACTCACTTCTTCCTTCCATAGCTGTTCTCTTCCCTATACACATAGACAATGTACTTGTCATTCTTTAAATCAGGTAAGCGAGGCAAACACACAAAAACTAGAGTTAGAAAAAAATCATAACACTAAAGAGAACTGTCTGACATCTGGACCTGGAGCTGCTGTCAGTAGCAGAAGGCTGAGGCATTACAATAGCATCCCTCTCATATGCAGGCTAAGACAACACAGGCATTAATGTATAGTAAGTACAGTGTGGTATCACAAAGCAGGACTGGATAATACAAAGGTGTCACAAATGTGTGTCAGTGTGATTAAAAAGAAAAGTGTTTGTGAGAAAATGTATTGCATTTTCTGATGACTGGAAACTGTCTTGATCTAGTAGTGCAAAAGTGAGTAGAAATGAAATTAATACAAATAACAATAAAATAACAGGATGGGAGATCTCTGCTTTGATTCTAAAGGACTTAATGGGTTTAATTTAGGCTTGGATAGTGATTTCCACATAGTGTAGCCTGAGTTGTAATCTGCCATGTTTCAACTGTTTCTTTTTGTCAGCTGGTTTAATAGATGGGCCACAAAATGGTGCACCCCCTCCGCCATGGGATATTAAAGTCCAGCCACCACAGATGTTTCAGGAAGATACAAAGAAGTTCCGGGTACCTCACACTTCTTTTGTCAAGGTAAACTATTTGTTGGTGAATAAAACAGTTTGGAAAAGTTGCTCGTAAGCAGTTAGCTACCTGGACTTAAATCCAGGTGCTATTCCCACCTAAAATGGACCCACTGAACCAATCATTTTGACTTACGTTCAACAATGATTCAATTGACCTACTCTAATCAGAATTAGTAATTATTGGACCATAGGCTGTCGTAGCTTGTGAGATGTAATGTGTTTTTGCGTAAGTAATTATTTTTTTAATTACAGTGAGTATTTTTAAAGTTGCACCTAAAAATACAGTGCATGCAAATATACAAAACTATGCCATCTTTGTTCTCTTCTTGATGATGGGTTTTCTGTTTTAGTCGATGTATTAGTGCCTATCTCAACAATAGTATTTTTCTGAAACAGACTACTAAATTTACTACCATATTTTTCTGTTTGTAAGATGACCCAGTGTATAAGACGACCCCCTGTTTTCTAACCCCAAAATTAGAAAATTGCACAATTGATCCCTTTGGTCCTGAAGCCCTTTCATGGCTGCTTCAGGATCAAAGGGGTGCGAGCTTGCCGCCCTTTCACAGCTGCTTTACCTGTGGCTTCACAAAAGGCAGGGAAAGTGGCTGCCTTCCGTGTATAAAATGACCCTCAATTTTTTGTCTCATTATTTAAGTAAAAAGTGCCATTTTATGCACAGAAAAATACGGTATATATTCTGTTTAAAAAGATCATGTACTATATATATATGCTATAAAAATATTTGGCAGAAGTGCAACACATGCATTTTTTTGTATTGGCAGGAGTGTCATAAGTGTCATGGCCGTGGCCGATATAAATGTAGTGGTTGCCATGGCGCTGGCAGGGTAAGTACTGGCTGTGTCTATAAACCTATTTGATGGCAGTTACATAATCTATGCCTTTCTCCCATCACAACATTATTAAGCCCATTTGGAAGGAATGCAAACATTTATTTATAGAAGGAATGGAGAACATCTTCATTGCTGGAGCACAACTCCTCTTGTCCCTTCCCACAAGCTGTACTAGACAGAGATGGCAGAAGTTGAAGCCTCACCAGAGTGGGATGTCCACTAGTCTCACTGCAGTGCGGAATTTGAACTACTGCCTCAGGTTATTGCTGAGATCTCACATCCTTCCTAATCCTGACCAACAAAAAACTTGACTTGCAGAAAAGAACTGTATTCAGGAGAGAAGGCTAGGCTAAAACAGTAATCCTTTGATGTCTAGTTGTCTTTATGGAGGGATTTTCTTTGGATAAGTATTCAACCATGTGAGTGTACTACCTTCAGGGTTTTATAGGGCTATTTTCTTTATATGAGTATTGCAAAAACAGTTAACTTTACAAAGATGTGAAGATATAGATATAGTAGATATCAAATGACAACCAACAACGAAAGAAATAGAAGCTGAGGCTATACCAAATGCTACAAAATACACTTTCTTGGGTTCTCTTCACCAATAATGGGCCAGGGTAGGAGTTGCTTGAAGGAAAAAATAATGAAGAAAGGTCAAGAACAACGTCTCAGATATCTTTATTACTCAAGACAGAAGACAGCACAAAGAAAAACTGGGTACTTTAAGGCTCTAAAATAAAATACAAATTCTAAAACAAATTCATCAATCCACTTAATAATGAATTCCAGTGACACGCCCCACACCACGCATAAACATATTGAAATTCTACTAGTTAAACTAAGTAGATAAGTGTGTAGATCAGCCTCTGGGGGAAGAGCAGTTCTGCCCTCTCCAGCTCTCTCTCTCTCTCTCTCTCTCTCTCTTTCCAAAGTGGAATTTAGAAGCACATCCATTTGCAGAGGCTGAACCAAATAGTCCCGGGGCATTTCATGCGCCCATAGCTGTAATCTGAAAGTTCACTCAAATTGAAGGGTTCACATCACTGTGAAAATAAGTGCCATATAATCATTAAATATCTGATTACCCAATAAGAATGTCATTAAACACACGTTGGATCAGAAACCTGAGCAGTAGTTCTCAATCTTGGCTCCCCAGTTGTTCTTGGACTACAACTCCCAGTAATCCTGGCCAGCATAGTTAGTGGTGAAGGCTTCTGGGAGTTTTAGTTCAAGAACATTTTAAGATTTGAGCTTAGGACCTGAGGAAGAAGGGGGACATTCTCAGATCCAGAGAAGCCCAAAGCTCTTCTGCACTTTTGAGGAAGAGATCTCCCACCACCTTGTGGAATAAAGCAGAAAGACATCTGTTTTGCTTTTTTTCCCCTTCTCCTCTCCCTGTCCCAGAAGCCTGCCTTGGAAGATTGGAGGTGACTTATGTGACTGAAAGTCCTAGAAATACAAAAATCCCACCCCTAACAGCAATGATAAGCAGCAACTGGTAACTTGGATGACTGGGAAGAATTGTTCACTGCCGCTGTGCTGCAGGCTGCAAGAGAAGAAGGCGACAGCTTGTCCTCCTGTCCACTTTAGACAAATAGCAGTGGCAACAGGAGATGGCTCAGTAAGAACTGTGTATGTGTGTCACTGCTGATGGGCTAGAAATTCTTACGTCGTTGTTCATACCCTGGGATGCTAGCCAATCAGCAGTTGTGCATTGGTGGGGCACCCCTGGTCTTTCCATTGCCGCCTGCCTCCTCTTCGCCTACAATACAGCACTCAACTCCCACCAGCAAACGCTGCCGCTGCTTGTGATAAATATGACCTTGTATATATTTTCAACACATTGTTTTAAATTAACAAGCCTGCATGGGATTTCCTCTGCATGAGAAGAAAGGCATAGCTCTATATAAAAAATACCAACCAAGCTGTGTTGGGAAATGACTCAATAAAGTGTATTCTGTTTAATTTTTGCCACCCTAGATGCGGTGCCTTACATGCAGTGGAGCCAGGCAAAAAGCAAAAGCAAAGTATTTGAAACATCACAAACGATGCCAGATGTGTTCAGGCAGTGGCCGCAGAAGGTAAGGTTTAGTGAGCTCCCCATCTTCCTCCTTTCCCCCTTTAACTAAATAGAAAGAATTAAAAAAAAATATTTGGGATTGTTTCTTCCAGTTCTAGAGGGAACATCTCTATCTACAGAAAGCCTTACAATGAAATTATACTATTCGGTTATTCTTCTAAAAATTATAATTTGTCATCTATGAGGCAATAGAATAATTTAAAAAGATGGATACAGTTAGAGTCTTATTCTGTATTAGGGATGGAGGTCATCTAGCTGTTGTTGAAATGCAACTCTGATCATGACTTACCCTCAACTATGCTGGCTATTGGCTGATGAGAACTATAGTCCAATGGTGGCTGGACGGCCACTTACCCCAGCTCAGCCATGATCTCTCCCTTAGTCGAGCAGGAGACCAGCGGTGAGAGAAAAGGATATGGCAGAGTGTTGGTTCCATGGCCCAGGCAGAAAACCAGCTTTAAAGTGTGAGGGAATTGTTGATTCTAGAGGCTGCAGCTGGCTGTTCACAAGCTTTTCAGATATAAGGTAGGAAGAGTGAGATCTTTAAGTACTCCCCAACAGGCTGCAAAGAGTGAAGGCAGTGGCCTGGGGGGAGAGGAGAAGGACTCTGGATTATGTAGCCCTTTCCTTCTGACAAACAGTGGGGAAGGGGACTGAATCTTGAAAGAGGATTGGCTTGCTTCTGCTTACTTACTTAAAATGCTGGTCAGCCTGCATATGACTTTCAATATACATGATGGCAGGACCTACTCCAAAAATATTTCAAATTGCTTCACAAGATTAGAGAACGGGTAGTTATTTGTTCTACTGCAGGCAATGGGGAGAGAGCCTTGTGGGATTTCTTCCTCATGCACCAAAGAAACTTGCTTAGCTTTGGGCAATAAGTACTTTGCCTCCCCTCCGCCTGCCCACCCACTTTCTCTGTACTGTGTAGTGGATGCCATCTGAAGCTGTGCTCAGGCAACAAACTGTTGGGATCTTCTACCCTAAGTAAGGTAGAAGATCCCAACAGAATTCTTCAGCTGTCCCTGCTCACCCTCTTTTCCCATGACATTGACTCCAAGACAACCACTCCTGTTCTTCCTCTCTGTGGATCCACCAACCTCCCTTCTCCCAATGACAATGTTTATATACTTCTACTTTTCACAGCCTTGGCTTGCATACATAGTCCTGAGGAGCAACACTGGGGCTAAATGGCTTTACAGATGGCATGCCTAGAGCTTTCATTTCAGTTCATGGTCAAGAATGTTGTAGTGCACTTTGTGGACTACAGATCCCAATATGGCCAGATAAGGATCGGCAGAAAGAGAGGGGGAAATTGTTGGGCTTCATTCAGCTCCTCGTGATCTTCTTTGTGTGGGTGAAGACAGATAATGGAGGCTAGAAGCATGTGAGAAAATAAATATACAAATCCTCTTCATTTCTTTCAGCTCTTACTTCTTTGACCTTTGCCCGCCCAGCCTGGAATAATGAGATGAGACACCATATGTACAGGTTAAACTAGGGCCAGAACTTTATTAACTTATTCACACTTTAATTTCCCCTATTACAAGAGGGCCTGCTGTAGTGCAAAACAGGTCTGGAACCAGCATCAATCCTACCTGACCAGTCCAGACCAATTCCCAGCAAGTTCCTGCACCGAAAGGGTGCTGCTTCCAGCACATCACCCTCTCGGTCCTCCGCGCCAGAGGCCGCCCTCAAGGTGAGCCTCGGGACCCCTAGTGCACTGCGTCCCCTGGCCCCCTCTGTTTTTCCCTCCCCTCAGCTAAACCTCTTTACTGCAATTCTGAGAGAAGGGGTTTCTAGCACCCGCTGGGTGTGTCCCCTGATATTCCCATGATCCTATCCTGCTTTGTACTACCCAATGATGTGACCTATTCAATAGTGGTAATCTATTATTCTAACCCCAAGAACGGCCTGGTGAGTAAGAATGGGATGGGTGAAAAAACACCTGCACCCTGAGGCCAATGTGCGTGCCGGCTGCTCTCGTTCTTATCACTCAGGTGGGCAAGAGGGTCACTTTGCAAGCAGGGAAGAGGACGGAGGAGGCATGGGGAGCCTTCTCAAAGGCTTGCCTTTAGCCCTGCCTGCCTGACGTCTTCTGACTCTCCCTGCTGACATCTCTACCAGACGGGCAGGCAAAGAGGCCCCTCCCCAACAGCCCCGCCCTGTGCTGGAGGGGCCTTATCACCTCATTACCTCATAGCAATATACTGCCTCGTGGTGCAGTGGTTAAACCGCTGTACTGCAGCCAAAACTGTGCTCATGACCTGGGGTTCAATCCCAGGTAGCCGGCTCAAGGTTGACTCAGCCTTCTGTCCTTCTGAGGTCAGTAAAATGAGTACCCAGCTCGCTGGAGGGGGGGCAATGTGTAGCCTGCATAATTAACTTGTAAACCGCCCAGAGAGTGCTTGAAGCGGTATGGGGCGGTATATAAGCAGCACGCTTTGCTTTTTGCTTTTTGTATTCAGCCAAACAGGAAATATTCAAGACAAATTTCTAATTAAAACCTCTATAGCCTTCAGTTGTAAATGCATCATGATTGTAAATGGTTCATACATTTATCTCTGCAGATAAAGCTGTTGTTCTTAATAATAATTCTCTCAATTGAAAAGTGAATGTTTGCCTAATGGATGCAGTGGCCAAAATCCTGTTGTGTAGCATAAGCAAAGTCATAAATTTTGGTTCATTCCTTGCTGATAAATAACGACTCCTGTTGTGATTCTTGGGACCGTGTGCATATGCATCAAGCCAGCATGTGCAAGTACCCTCAGAGAATTGCAGAGGTGGCTCTTTATCTATCAGCAATGAATGGATCAAAACATGCAATCATGCTTATGTTACACAACAGGCTTTCAGCCAGTGCTTCATCCATAGTTCATGACACAATAGCATGCTTCCGTCAGATCCCTCTGCTTATGCCTTCCCTCTTGGGTTTCACCTGTGTGCCTGGAAAACTTGCTTTAAAAGGCTGGAGTGGGAGGATGGGAATGTCTTGATTTCTCCAGCATTGGTATCCAGTATCCAAAATAATTTGATTTTGCCCACTGGCTTCCACTATGCGCAATATTCCTGAAACATGGATGCCAAGCTATTCAAGACGTTCAGTACATTTCTGATCCATGTGAAAGTGACTCTTGACTTTGGGGTCTAGTTTCCCATTTTTCCAGAGTCTTGTGTTTGTCAGACATCTCCTGATTCAAAGTTGTGTCCACCTTATAAAACATACTACCTTTTTGTCTCTTCAAAACTGCGAAATAATAGGCTTTACACTGATCTTGAATTGATGTAAACTACCTCTCCATTCCATTTAAACAGTTAGATTAGGCTCCATTAAGCTTAAAATAACAGAGAATACATTGTGGGATAATTGTGGTAATAATTTAAAAAGGGATCCACGGGGGGCGTATAATGTCTTTTGGTGCTTTAATAAATCAGCTGTTAACTGCTACTAATCGCCATCAAGTTGATGCATCCAGATTTGCCAAGCGTAAACATATGCCTTCTACATCTGTTGTAAGTCGAATTATACTTTCCTTGAAAGGGTCACCTAGTTCTCTATAGCTGTGTAGGGAAAATAGCTGTTATGTACAGACATGTACTTAATTTCCTTAACTGACATATTCATTTCTAAATGATCTCTGTGGTGCTGGCAAGAATCAGGCAGTTCAGCCATCTTAATATTGAGTCAGAGAGTTAATTAAGATGTTAACAGGAAGGAAGGAAGGAAGGAAGGAAGGAAGGAC